CCACCCAGAGCCCAGGCTGGAGGGACGGGAGCCGGACAGCGGCCCCACCGTCCACCCGTGCCCCGGTGTGGGAGGTCTGAGGGCCTCCCTTCTGCCCTGTGCTGGGGGCGGGGTGTGACGGGAAGCTGTTCTGTGAGCGCCTGCCGGTGTAGCCGGTGTTTAAGGACGGTGTTTAAGGACGTGTGTACCCTCCAACAATAAAGAGTCTGAGTAGCGGCCGCACCCCGTGGGGAGCTGGGCTGAAAGAGAGGGCGGGGCCGGGCCCAGGGCCTCCCCACGGAAGGGAGCAGCCTTGGATGAGGACTGCGGCTGGTGTGCTGCCTCTGGGAGCCCCCCCATTTTCCTGATAACTTGGAGCTGGAACCCCTGAGGGGGTCCCAAAGCGCGACCGGTGGCCGACAGCGCTCCTCCCCGTCCCCACCGGGGCAGTTTCTAGCCACCCTCCCATGCTGGTTTAGGTGGGGCTCGCCCACACCCTGGGCCCGAGGGGACGGTCCATTCGTTTTGGCTCCCAACCCGCAGAGGGTCACCATCAGCCAGCGGAGGGGTGTGAAGGGGCGGACGATGGCGGAGGGAAGTCGGCAGGTACCACACTCCTTCCGCCAACCCCGCGCGAATACCTCGGGCTCTCTCCTGGAGCCAGGGCTGAGCTCAGGCCCGATAGGGGCATCGGCAGACAATCCAGAACCGGATGTCCTCCACTGGCCGCTACTCGATCCCGGCTCTAACCCCAACAATTCACAGACCATTTAGCAGATGAAGTGGGGAGGAACGGACCCCCCAGAACTTAAATGGTCTGAGTGATGGCAGCAGCACCATTTTCCCAAGACCTCTGCGCCGTCCTGACGTCATCGCTTAGCAGAGAAGCCTGACCCGCTCCACCCAAGTGAGTGCAGCAAGGACACTGTCCGTGGCATGATGGGTGGGCACCCTGCTTGGCAGGCAGCAAGGGCTGGTGCTCACCAGGGAAGAGTGGCGTGTCCTACACAGGAAGAACCAGGCGGTGCACTTAGGCGGGGAACCCAATTGCTTGGGGAGCACCCCAAGGTCAAGGTTGCCATCTTGGGGATGGTGTATCTGACGCGGGTGATGGAGGCAAGTGCGGGAGGAGGAACGAGTGTGGGGATTGTGGTCACCCCTCCTGAGTGCCCATGCAGCCAGTGCGGTGGCACCTGTTGGGCTGTGTGTCAGAGGAGAAAGGAGCCAGAGGAACAGAGAGCACAAGCTAACCAGCCTGCCAGGTGTCCCTGCCTCAAGGACCTGGGAGGTGACCACTGAGCTCTAGGGTGTGGGGTGCCCACAGCCCCCACAGGCCACGTGGGCTGGAGCTGCTCAGGCAGAGCCGGGCTAATTGGAGAAAATGAGAGGACAGAAGGCCTCTCAGGAAAGGTAAATAAAATTACTCACCCGCCAGGCACTGGGGCCCTCCCGAGGGGGCCTTCACCCTGTGCTGCCCACACCCACCGCAGGCCCGGATGTGGCAGGGAGGGAAGTGGTGGGGGGGGGGGGGGAGGTCAGGGAGGCGCTGGAGACAAGTTAGGGGAGACTGAGCTCTTGCGTGGCCCAGGGGGGTCTCCAGCGTTACTGATTGATGACGGTCTGCAGAGCTGACTGTGCCTCTGTAGGACTGGTGGGCAGTACCAGCCATGCAGCTGGAAGACCGAGGGCCTTGACCTTGAGGCTTCAGGCTACCCCTTGTGCCAGGGCCTCCCAAGCCCCTGCCCACAGGGCCCCCCTGCCAGCCCTTGATGCTCGGAAGCCTGTGTGGGCACAAGGAGGGCGTAAGCTCTCCTTCACGCCAGCTGAGCTCAGGGGTGGTGACTGCCTTGGGGAGTGTGCCACTCACCTAGTGGCCTCCTGACAGCCCTCCCTATCCTGACTCCCTCTGCCCTTATCCTCCTTCACCCTTGTCCCTGTCCCCACGGGAACTGGAGCAGACCGGTAGAGCTGAGGGTGGAGGCGGAGGTCTGGCAGGGGCTGGACCTGCCCAGCCAATAAACACTGGCTCTGACCAGGCAGCCCTGCAAGTAGGGAGGAGGGGGATGGTTCGAGAAACCCACTTTCTCACAGCCCAGCACCCCCGCCTCTCTCTGCCCAGGAGAATGAACACTCCAGGCCCTCTGCCTTCCCCATCGCTACCACAGTCCTTCACCTCAGGCCTTACCCCCAAAGAACACACGGGTACTGCCTTGCCTGTGCGCACATGCGTGTGTACATACGCGCTACTAAAATGAGTGTGAAGAACAAGAAAGAGGAATACCTAGACTACAATAAACAGGGATCAAACCTAGGAGAGTTGAGGGGTCATTCCCCAGGATGGCAGCTCTGCACCAGAGTGCATCACTAGGTGGGGGGCAGACAGCTCCAGGCGAGACACCCTCAAGAGGGCCAAAGTGACTAAACCAAGGGGAAATTTAAATGACCTGGTGGAGAATTCAGGACTTAATTAGTGTTAGTACATAGAAAACTAAGCAAATGAAAAAAAGAAGGCAATTGATAACTTCAAGGAAAACAAAAAGTTGGGCAGGACAGAAAAACAATCACAATTTACCACATGGTTCAGCTTCAAATACAAACATAGACGTCATAATGTAAATACTCAACACTGATATAACCAAAGGTAGGGGAGAAAAAAATAACTGTCTAGGAAGAATAGTGGATGGGAACGGCGTATGTGTGTAGTGGAAAATCAAGAAGGAACAGCATATGTTTGCTACTTAGAAATACAAGTCAAAGTATCAGCTGAAGAGCTGAAAAGGGTTGCCTGTGGGTGGGGGAGGGGTGGGAGAAGACAGAGGGCTGCTGGTCCACTCTCTGAGCTGCCTCAACCTCTTCCTGGACATTTTGGCAAGCCTCAGCCCCAGATCCTCCCCCTGCCTGCTCTTTCTCTGACCTTTCCTCTGCTCAGTCCCTTTTCCTGCTTCCTCCTCCCCTCCCTGACAGCCCTGCCCAGGGACCAGGCCACATTTCTCCTCCTCTCATCAATCTGTGAAAACTTATCTTTCTAGATGATTCCCAATTTTATCTCCAGCCCCTGTGGCTCTCTCATATCCACACTTTGGACCCATCTTCCCACGTAACACCTCAAATCCCACAATCCACAGAGCTCCTCACTGCCCCACCCCCACCTTCCTCTTTCTAGAGTTCGCTGAGATAGCCCTAATAGGTCTCTCTCCTTCTACCCTGAAACTGCCTACAGTCCTTTCTCAACTTTAGCAGCCAAAGTGATCATATTACATCCAAGGTCTCTTCCTATGAATCCCATCAGGCCTCTATGTCTCACTTCAGTTAACAGAAACGCAGGGGACAGAGGAGCCCGTTAGCAGAAGGAGGTGACTGGCCAAATCCAGAGTGTGGGAAACTCCACTTTGAAGCACGCCAGGGTCCTCAATACCAAAATGGGGCAGGGCAGCTGTTAAGACTTAAGGAACGTGTCAAGCAGAGGCAGCTGATGCACTCTGCCTTCCCATCCTGAGTCTGTGACCCACCGAGAATGCGTTTAGATAAGGGGAATGTGGACTGGGGATTATTGTTCGTGCTCAAGGCACATGAACATGCTCAATATTTACTAAATTAAAATTCTGATAAAACTAAAGTCCTAAAACTTGAATTAGGGCAGTCTCTTATAGGAGGCCATTTCATTCGTGAAACTAGGGTAATAAAACTTGCCCCACGGAGTCACTGACATCGAATGAAATGACGTGCACACGTGGAGCATACAACGTGGAGAAACAGACGCAGCCCTGGTCCACCACGCTGCCCGCTGCCCTCACTGTCCCGAGGTGAGGCGTCTCCAGCCACTCGCAGGCAGCCGCACAGCGCTGGTGAAGGCACCTTGGACAGGGAGGTGGCAGCACAGCTGGGGCTGGGCTCAGCCCAGAGGACGCATGCCCACCAGACGGCTGGGCCAGGCCAACAGGGAGGACTTCTGCCCAACCACCACCTCCCACTAGCTAGCATTCCTCCACCCCATGTCTGCCCCTTCCCCCCTGGTCCCAAGACCCCCTTTATGACCACAGAGTCCTCATCCACCGGTCATAATCTCCAAATGGACACCTGGACCCCAAGTTAGGGAAGGGGTGGTTCCACACCTAGCCGGCATGCCTCCTCCGATCTGCCCCGCCCCCCCCCCCCCCCGAGCCTCCACCCACCTCCCAGGTGCTCTGGGCAGACACCACAGGCTGAGGGCCTCCATTTCACAGAAAAGCTAAGTTTGCAGGGACATGAAGAGTGAAAAAGGCTTCGAGGGGGTGTCCTGTGGTCCCCCCACACACAGTGGTGGGGTGTACGGGTCCACGGCTATCACCACTAGTGCACGAGGCCAGGGAGGGTAGCTGCGGGCACTCAAACCCTCTGCAAAACACCCCACGGGTCCCCAGGGAGCAAACAAGGCCACGTGGTTAGAGGCTTGGCTCAGGGCCTGGCACCAGCCAGCGCCCACTGGCAGCGAGCCAAGGCGGCTGTTTATTGCAGGACCTGTCCTTCCTGTGCCCCTTCCCTGGGGAGCCCCCCTCCCCCCACCGGAGAAGATGCCTCCTGGAGCCACCTGTAGGGCCCCAGAATACTCTTCCAGGAAACAGTGTTCCCAAAATAAATTCCAGTTTGGCTTATCTGGGCCTGGCCTGCCAGGGCTTTCCAGGTTTGAAGGTCAAGTGCACTTGGGTCTCTCTCAGGGCTCAACGGCCACCCCTTCATCTGAACAGCAGCGAAGCCACTTCCCTCCGGGGTCCAGCACAGAGGTTCAGGGCTGCAGAGGGAGGCTGCTGCCTGCAGGGCCCCGCCCTTAAGAGGATGGTCCCCTGAAGAGCATAGAGCCACCCCAACCGATCTCTCCTCCAGAAAGCCCCACGTCCACCTCCCACGGCCCCCCAGGAGGCCTGAACCCCCCTAGAGGATCCCAGGGATCAGATGAAATTTCTGGATTCTGGCGCCCAGACCGTGACCTTGGACCTCCAGCCCCGCGTGGGCTGCTGGGACAGCGGCCTGACAGACCAAGGGGGGCCGATCCAGCGCCACCCGCCTTTATTCACTGGTCCTTGGGCTTCAGTCACAGACACTTGGCTTTTGGAGAGCACAGGAAGAAAGGGGGGCCCTGGTGACCGTCCCAGCACACAGCACAGGGCCAAGGCCAGCCTCATACCCCTGCCCAAGGGGGCTGCTGTGGCCACAGGGCCACAGACAACAAGGGGCTAGGCCTGGTTGCCCAGGACCCCTTTTGAGCGGGTGCTCGCAACATCCCAGGCCCAGAGGGCTGGTGCCAACCCGAAGCTGATGCAGGGAAGGACAGGGCCAGTCTGGACAGTGGGGTGAAGAATTAGATGCTCCCCAACGTGTCCAGGCCAGAGAAGCAGCAGGAGTTGGTAGGGAATACAACAGGCATGGAAGGGCCACCCTTGTCCTGCCTCCTGGCCACTTCAGGGCCAAGGCCAGCCCAGTACCACCAGCCTGGGAGACGGCACAGGCCCCCCAGGTCTCCCTCGTGACCTTGGAAGTGGCCGGGGGGCAGGGGGTGGGGGCAATGGAAAGTGACGGGAGGTGGAGGGGAGTCAGAGCCGAGGCCCTGGGGTGGGGGCAGGCAGCTCCGAGGAGACAACTACAGGGAGAGCGGGGGCTGGCAGGGCCCAGACCCGCCCAGGGGCAGGGGCAGCTCAAGACCCCCTAGGAGGAAAGGAGGGGGCTCAGGAAGGAAGGGCAGGCCTTGGCCACCAATCGTGCCCCTCCCGGTCCTGGGGTTGACAGCCCCCTGGGCACACAGCCCCTCCCCCTCCCAGGAACTGAGCCCACGGGAGACCAACATCGGGTGGCACCCGGGTCTCCCAGAGGCAGGGGGTGGGGGGGTGGGGAGGGGACACCGGCTTCAGGACTTCTTGGCGTCAGGCGTGCTCCGGCGCTTCAGGTCACCCAGGTCGATGGGCTTGAAGGCTGTCAGGGGACGGGGCGGTCAACGGTGGCACAGACGGAGACCGGGCCCGGGCCCCCCATCCCGTGCCTGCCTCTGGAAGCCCTGGGCCCGGACCCGTGCGGCCAAACCGCGTCGCGAGTGGGCAGCCTTCTTGCCCTCCGCCCTCCACCCTCCGCGGCGCGGGGCCCCTGGCCAGGCCCCTCCCTCCCCGGTCGTCTTCCCCACTCACTCTTCAGACTGGGGTTGGGGACCTTCTCCACGTACTCCTCCACCAGGCCCCGCTCGCTGCCCGACATCTGGCTCCGCAGGTCTCGCTCCACTCCCTGCCAGGCTGCGGAGAGCAGGGAGGACGTCAGATCCCCCAGCGCGGCCGGGCGGTGGCAGGCGGAGCCCACGCAGCTCAGCGCCCTCGCCCCTTCCCAGCCCTCAGAGCTCCGCGCCTCCGCGTCTGTAGGGGGCTGCGGTCACAGAGACACGCGACACGCGGGACCCGACACGCGGGACCCGGCAGCTCTCCTCCAGGAGGCTCTGGGCCTCTCCCGCCTCCTGGCGCACTCATCACGCACACGCTCATATGCCCCGGCCGCACTTCTGGACACCCCTGGGTCCTCCTGGGGGGCACCGTCTGCCCGTCTTCCACAACGGTCCCCTGTCCTCACGTAAACCTGGCCCGCTCCAAATGGGGCCTGTCCAAGGAGCTGCCCGCCTCCCACTACAAGGACCGGGTCTCCTCAGCAGACGAGTCCCCGGTGACCCCAGCTGCCGGGCCCCTGAAGGCCAGGGGAGAGCCCGTATCCCGGAATGGCAAGAGGGGGGTTCTGGGGAGTTCCCGGCTGGCGGTGCCCCGCGTACCTTCGTAAATGAAGCGCACATTCTCCTCGTGGGCCGGGGTGAAGATCTCGCTGCTGCTGGGGGGAGAGCGGGGGCTACTGTTCCTCTTGCCGTTGTAGACGACTCTGGAGACGGGGGAACTGGGGGGGCCCAGCACGTGAGGAAGGGCTGGGGGCAGAGTGGGGCCCACCCCCGGACCCCTGGGCGAGGCCGCTCCACAACCCGAGACCCACCTGGTCATCGCGGGGGTGTCTGGTCCTCACGCTCCGCTGCCGGGTCCCCTCGGCCTCTAGAAGGGAAGCCCAGACCCCAGAGGTGGGACAGAGTTGCGCCTCCTCCCTCAAGCTGCCCACCGGGGTCCCTCAAGGCTGGGGCGCAGCCCCAGTGTGGGCACAGTCAAGCACGTGGAGGCTGGGGGCCAGCAGCCGGCACCTGCGCTCAGAGCAGCCTCGGTTCTGGGCAGATCCCGGCGCCTGGGCCCCCGCTACCCAGGGAGCCCCTTCCCCCGCAGTCAGGCAGCTTGGGAAGGCGCCGGCAGCAGAGCCCAGATGCCCCCTTTCCAGAGTCCTGGGACACCTGTCAGGGAAGCGTGGGCCTGCGGGAAAGGGCTGCCACCATCCCAGCGAACCCCACCTCCACCCTCACTGCCTGCGGGGGCCCGGGGGCTGTCTGCACTGAGCCTGGTTCCCTGTCTGCAGGGCCATGCTTCCTCAGTGAGGAGTCGAGCAGAGCCAGAGCTTCCTGGTCCCAGAGGCCGGGGCGCGAGTGAACTGGGGCCCTGGACACAGAACCCAACGGGGAAGGAGGGCCGGGGTAAAGGTGCGAGCCTGGAAGCAGCAGCTGGGCCTGACCGAGGGACCGAGACCCTGGGGTGCCGCCTGCTTGCGGCCATAGCCCCGGGCGGGGGTTACTCTCAGGCTCACTCTAAAACCAGCCAGCTGGACAGGGTTCCCTCTCTGGTGGACGACACAGCACAGGGTGAGGACGCTGCCTACTGCCCACACGGGGCCGGTCCCAGGCCTGGCCTCGGGACAGGACAAGCCTAGGTGCCAAGGGCAGACGGAGGGGGCCCTGAACGCAAGAGCCCCCGCCCCTGCGGCCCCAGCGTGCAGCTACAGGCCTTCCCAGAGGGCTGGAGCGGCGGGACGCTGTGGACACCCGCTCTCCGGTTCGCTCGCCGTCTCACCAATGATCAGGCATTTGAACACCCACACAGCTGAACGCAAGCCCAGGCGGCAGAGCAAGAACCACAAAAAAAACCCACAGAACCAGCTTCCTGGAGGGTGTGTGCAACCCTGTGCCCCTCCCTCACAAAGTGACGTCTTCTTTCTTGGACTCAGGGGTCTCCCTGCCCTGGTCCTGTCTCCCAGGCACCGGCCCCTGGAATACCAGAGCAAGAGGGAGCCCTCTCGGGCCTAAGGGTGCGCTGGTCGACCCGGGGGGCTATCGGCAGTGGGACACGGCGGGGAAGCTCCGGTCCTGCCACAGGATGGCCCCCCGCCTCAGCCAGGCCCCCCTCTCCTCCTGTACTTTGCTCTCCTCAACCCCGGAGGCCACTGCTCAGGGCACCTGCCTTCCCAGCCTCACCCGCCCCAGTTCGGGCCTCTCCCCGCACGGCAGCCTCTGCCTCTTGTGGCCACAGCCTCTGGGGGCCACCCAGCCTTTGTGGGCACTGTGGCGTCACCTCAGGGCCGCCTACTCACCCTCTCGGGCTAACTCAGGTGCTCACCCCCTCCTGGCTCCGGTCGCCCTGCCTGCAGGCACGTGCCGAATGGGGTTCTCTGGACACCTCACCAGCTCCCCTGTCCCTGCAGACCTAAGGCCAAACCCGGGTTGGGCCCAGAGCAGCTGGCCCGCACGGCTGTGCCTGAGACCAGAGCCCTGGACCCACAAAGCACTCGGTCCCCACACCAGGGACCCGGCCCCACCGCCTGCTGGGCTTCCTGACCAAACCAGGAGCAGGATGAGGTCACATCAGTTCCCTGTCCCAGGGCTGTGCATCTGTCAGCAAAGGGCTGCCTGTACGGACATCCTACTTTAGCTAAGGAGGTTTCTGCTACTCTGGAAAGACAGGACTGGCCACACAGTCAGCAGGTTCTCACCCCCTGGGGACTTGAAGAACGAGGCTAATATAACATTTATGGGCGCCGCCTCCCGCCTCCTTCTGCAGCAGAAAATCACACCCCACCCAGCTGACGGCCACAGCCTAGGTCCTACCAACCCGTCTTCCCAGGAACATCTGGGTCCTCCCGCCCCCTCCAGAGCTCAGCTTCGGGCCCTGGGTCTTCACCACCAAGACCTTGTACTGCCGCCCCCCCCCCCCCACCCCGGGTCCTGCCACCCGGCAAGACTCGGGGACACTGAGAGACTTCTCCTGGAAAGAGACCAGGGGCCTGGTGCCTTCCTGGAGACAGAAAGGACAGTGACCCGCCACTCGCTCACCCTCATCACCTCTTCCCATCTGCAGCCGCCCCTCCTCCATCTACCACCCCCCACAACACGACAGCCAGCTGCACCATTATCCCCCACCCTTGTCCTAATTCCCCTCCCCAAATAATTCCCCACCCTGCACGCCCTGGGCCCTCTAAAGCCATCAAGCCCTCAATCTGGCCCCAGTCCGTTTCTTTAGGTGTCACCCATTGCTGGGCCCACCCACACACACAGTATAAACAGAGCCGCCTCTGCCAGCTGCCATCACCACGGAGAACCACACGCAAATGCCCCCTTTGTGCGCCTTGACTCTTATCCAAGCCAACGGCAGGGCCCACGGCAGGGCCCAGAACCATTCTGTGGCTGGAGATCATCCACCCCCTGCTCTGCTGCCTCCAGGGAAATCCCTCCCTCTCTGGACCTCAGAGAACTCACTGAAGCCAAAGCAGCCCCCGAGATGGCTCTCCAGGTTCTCCCGCTTGACAGGGACCCCAGCACAACCATGTGGAGCTACCACCTCGAACGACACCTCTGTGGCTCCTCATCCAATAGGACCACAGACACGCCCTCAGACAGGACCGTCCTAGGAAGGGCGCGCTAACTGGGCACTTCTGGGAGCGGAAGGGCCACTGTTGACCACAAAGCACGACTGTGGACAGCGCTGGACACACCAAATGCAGAGCCAGCCACTCAGAGGAAGGCAGAGGCCCAGGAAAGTCCAGCATATGTGAAGAGGCTGCGGTACCGCCAGCCACAGCAAGCACTTGCTACGGGCTGGTTACAGGCTTGCTGGGCACAGCAGCCCGGCACCCAGCAAGGCAGAGTCTGAACCCCAAGGAGCCCTAGCCTCTGAGCCTCCGGGGCAGCAGACAGGGCCAGGCCCGGACAGCTCAGCCGACCTGAGCCCTCCGGAGCCCACCACTGCCCTTGCCTGCACCCCTGCCAGGTCCCGGGACACCCCTGACGTCAACGTGGCTGTGCTCAGAGACAAGGAGGGAGTCTTCTAGATGGGTGAATTTTGTACCTTGCCCTTCCGTGGGAACCAAGGACTTCAGAGACCTCCTAGGGGAAGGCAGGGCATTGGGGGCGGGGGGGGGGGGGGGGGACCCGAAGCCCAGCCTCTGGCCACCCAGTCTCAAATTCTTCCCCACCCACCCCCCCACAGCCATATGCTTTAGGACAGGAAAGAAGATGCTACTCTGTTTTCCAGGAAAGTGACAATGAGTATTCCAGAATTAGAATCGGCGATGCAAATGGCGGGCATTCCTTTAGAATTTCCGATGTTAAATTTTTCTTAGATTCCGCTTTCCCATCACATCCTGTGTCTTTGTGGTACTCAACAGTTTCAGCCACTAAGACTTCTAGAAATGATGTTACCCCAACAACAGCCAGAATACTGCTGTACGCCACGTCCAACAGGGGCTTTCCCTTGAAGACCCCTCAGGCCAAGCCCCTAGCACTGCCCCACCCCCACCCCCTCTTTTCTGGCTGCTGGCAGCCGCTCCCATCCCCAGCCACAGACCAGCGCGAGCGTGTGCACCCCCCACCACGTGACCTGGAAACCTCAGCTCACCCCAAATCAAGCCCACGCCCCGCTTCCTCTCCTCCCCACTCCCACTCCTCTCTTCGAGCTCTCTACCCAGGACTCCCTCACTGCTCATCACAGACACCTCAGGGCCTTTGCTCAAGGTGTCCCCTCTGCCCAACACGATCTGACTCCTCCTTGGGAGTCAGCTACAAGACAGCCTTTTCTTGGAAGTCTCCCTGGGGCTGGGCGGAGAATACAACTTTTGCACCTCCGTATCATCTGAGGTTTATGACAGCCCGGTGGCCTTCGTGATTAGAAAGCCGACCCCACGCGGCTTCCACCCCATCTCTGGAAGCCCCCTACGGTGGTCAGGCCCTGCAACCCAGGGAGCTCCCCGAGGGCGGGGCAGACGCAGGCCCGTCTTCCCCCGTTTCCACCCTGCACCTGGCACCGCACCACCTGGCCTGCGGAGGCCGGGGCTGTGGGAAAGGCTGGATAACGGAGGGCAGGGAAAACGGCGGGGGGCCTGGCCAGCTGCATTCCAAGAGCCAAGCAGCATCCTCAGGAATGCTCCCTTCGGAAAGGGGGGAAGGCAGGACATTTGTCAACCACCGCGGCGGCAGCTTCAGAGAATGGAAAGGGCGGGCCCATCGCTGCCCCTTCCGCGCCCGTCTCCCCCGGGGGGACCCAGGCGCCGCGTCCCGGGACAGGTGCGGACCGGCCCCGCCACGTCCCCACGCCCCCTCCTCACCGCACCGCCCGCGGCGGGATGCGC